ATGCCCCCAGTCCCCACATGACTCATCAAATAATACACTCCTCATTTAAAAATTTTATAATGTGAATGCCAGTGAGCTTCAGACAGATACTGGCATGATGGAACTTGAGCAACCATTGCTCAGGTCAGATGGAAACATCCATGCACTAGACAGTGGAGAAGACCCTAATTTGGGGTCGAGGGCATGTTTGTGTTTTCTTGCAGGAAAAGAATAAAGCTTTGGCAGCTGTCAGACCATTTAGTGAGATGCATGGAGTAGAGAAAAACTGGACCTGAGACCATGGGAGCCTACCTAAGCCAGTTTGAGTGAGATCTCCTAAATCAGTGTTCCTGTCCCTTGATGTCATTGAATCTAGAGCCCAAGAAAAAAAGAAAACAGTCGGTTCGAGATTTCCAGTTTGTCAACAGACCTGCTGTATCAACCTTCAGGACCCATGAGTTTTCATCGTGAAGCCAACAAAGAAAAAAGGACCCATTTAAAGCATTTGGACATTGGTATGGACTATGATGAGTGGCAAAAGCCTCTTTTCAGTATTTGAACAGGACATGGTCACTTGAAATATCAGACTTGATGGTTCCTATTTCTGGAATCACGACTAGGCCAGTGTATTTTTCTGGAGAAATGCAACTTGTCCTAATGCGATAACTATTGTTCATATTTTTCATAATGCTACATGTGTAACATCAATGATTGTGCCCAACGTATCTGTGCAAGTGCACTTTCTAAATGCTTTCCTGAACAGATCTTGAAACGATTGTAAACTTTATCAAATTGTAAATGTAAATCACATGCGGGTTACCCTTGTAACAGATGAAGGCTGATAGAATGTTATGGCCCAGATCTGGTGATGGGTATGGTGATGGAGAGGCGCTATGTCAATGGGGGTCCTGGAAATGGTGGCAGTGGCAGTAGGCATTCTGGCTTTATGCCGAGCTCAAATGTGCCTTGTTCCAGAGGCAATAGATCCGCAACCAAGTATTGCTTAGCTTAGCCCATGGCAATCCCGATAGCCATGAAGGTTGGTTACAGATGATTTAAGGTTGGGGTGTCTCCGACGACGGGCAACCTTTGGGAAGACCCCTCCCACCTAAGACAGGGGTTCAAGGTCCCCCAAAGACGGGAAAGGGAGGGTGACCCTACTTGACCTAAGCCAGGAGTGCCTCATTTGAAAATAAAAAGGGGTGAATCGTGGGAACACCAGACCTTGAGCAGAGACCCACTTCCCCTTCTGCCTGGGAGTAGGCAGCTGTAAGACAATGTTTAGTAAAAACATGTTTACTAAAAACAATACAATAAGTTCCTGGGAAAGGCCTTCCCATGGAAACTGCCCTGACCTCGACCTTGTCCAAAGACTAACCGCACCTTCAAACCCAGAGCAGAACCAGCCAGGGGAGAGGAGAGAGCAGAAGCTTCTCTGGTGGGAGCCTTTCTTAGGAAGTTTTTCTTGAACCTTTTTGGGGCCTGCTTAAAGTTTTCTTTACATCGTTGAACAAGTCTCTGTGTTGTCAATCCCTGACACCCTCCACACGTTCTCGGACACAGGCCACGCAGCAGATGCGACAGCTTACGTTGGTCATTACTCTGCTTTCTCACCAAACTTCTACTTCTCCCAACATTTTCATCTTTATTGGTGCCTTTCTTTGGATGCATAACTATAAAAATTTAAACTTCCTGTGTTGATATTAAAAATGTTTAAGTTTTCCATGGTGAACAACAAATTTTCCTAATAGCAACCATGGGGCCCCACAACATCAATTCCATCTGGTTCATAATGATGCCATCCAGTCGATAAACACCACTCATGGATCAGCTTTGGACAAAAAACTACTCTAGACAATTCCATTCAGCTAGCTGAGTTTGTCTTTGTTTAACATGTTGGTCACTTGTATTGATTTAATAAACACTGATTGGCCAGTAGCCAGGCAGGAAGTATAGGCAGGGCTACCAGACTAGAGGAATTCTGGGAAAGGGAAAATAAGAGATGCAGTCACCAGCCAGACACAGAGGAAGCAAGATGAGAATGCCTTATGAGAAAAGGTACCAAGCCACATGGCTAAAATTATACATGAATTTAAGCTGTAAGAGTTTGTTAGTAATAAGCCTGAGCAATAGGCCAAACGGTATATAATTGATATAAGCCTCTGTGTGTTTATTTGGGACTGAACGGCTGCAGGACTGGATGGGACAGAAGCTTCCAACCACAGCCCACAGGGAGACTCAAGAAGAGCTGCAGGAGAGAGGCCACCAACAGCTGATGAAACTCTGCTCTGTGTGGCAATGTGACTGACTCTCTTGGAAGAGCTTTGTGCAGTGAAGCAGGCTCAGCCAGTAAGAGGAGGAAGACAGTCCGCTAAGGAAAACCCCAGAAGCAAATTTAGCAGATTGCAGACAAGGGTTTCTCCACTGTGAGGGCAAGGAGTCAATCCAGCACCCTTTGAGCGTGGAAGGAACTGGGGACTTCCTGACCCCACCAGCCTTGTCCTGGGCTGTGAACTCAGCAAGGCAGGGTAGACCAAACTAAAAGGCAGGATCAGAGCTGACTAAGGCTGAGTCAAGCAACTCCTCAGGGCTAGGACCAGAGCCTGCTATGATCTGCAGATGGGTGGCTGGCCAACTTTTAGCCGTCCTCATGAGATTACGTTCTATCCGGGAAAGTCAAGGGCCTTGAGATGAAGAAGTGGTAGCTGAGAGTTCTGCATCTGGATCCACAGGCAGCAGGAAGAGAGTGACACTGGGCCACCCCATCCCCAGGGATGCACTTCCTTCAATAAAGCCACACAACCTAATCCTTCTCAAGTAGTGCAACTCCCTGATAACTAAGCCTTCAAATATAAAATCCCAGCTGGGGGGCATTCTTATTCAAACTACCACTGCTGCCTAGACAGAAAGAACTACTGCACTGCAGGGTGGAGGGTAAGAGCCCACTGTTCCAAAGTAGAAGAAATCCCTTGTCCTAAGACAGGTCGTCCTGTCCACTTAAGACCTACTCCCCGTGTCCCTGCAAGTCCCCCAGGGACTGCTGAAGTGGGTGTTTCTATACCTGGAGAGAAGACAGAAAATTCTAGATAAAGAAACCTCACCATCATAGAAAACATGGTTAGAAACCCATCAGTGGTCACAGCACCCCAGCCCATGACAATGCCACTGGCATAAGCCTAAGTCATACCATGGATGGTAATTGTTAGTCCACATTGAGGGACCACAAAGATTAGCATAATTGAGACTGGAGATGTGGCTCAGTTAGAAGAACCATTGGCTTAGCATGCATGAAGGCCTGGGTTTGATCCCCAGCACTCACAAACCTGGTCTGGCAGTACATACCAGTGATTCATAATCAGAAGTAGAGGCAGAAGGATTGGAAGTTCATTCTCAGCTACTCAGTGAGTTCAAGAACACTCTGGGCTACATCAGACCCTGTTGGTTTTTTTTTTTATGGTTTTTTCGAGACAGGGTTTCTCTGTAGCTTTGGAGGCTGTCCTGGAACTCACTTTGTAGACCAGGCTGGCCTCAAACTCACAGAGATCCACCTGCCTCTGCCTCCCGAGTGCTGGGATTAAAGGTGTGTGCCACCAACGCCCGGCGGTTTTTTTTTTTTATTTAAAAATAGTTTATTGTTACCATTGCTCTAAAAGTGTAGATGTTTCAGGCCCAAGGAGACAGACACCGCCACGATGGATTCAGGACTACTTCCCAACAGCATCTGAAGGATGGATTCTGGAAGCCTTCTATTCAGGAAGAGGAAACAGTAGGGAATGGGATCTCCGCAGGGGACAGCTGCTCAACTGTACTACATATCGGAATGTCCTAGTCATGAGGTCTAAGGCCACACGAGATAAAGTCAAACAGAAGACACTGGCTAGGCAAGTAAGATCCATGATGTGGGTGTTACGGAAGCCAGCCAGTGACAGCGGAAAGACTCTCCCGTGTGACTCTGGGCTGCCTTGGGGGGAATGAGTGGACAGGAAGAGCTGAGCCACCAGAGGAATGGGGTCACAGATTTGCGAAGGGACAGACATCACCCGACCCATTCACATGGTGTCTGTCCTCAGAGGACTGACTGGATTAAGGGACTCGAGGACAGACCCTGAGAAGTTCAGTTGAGAAGGTCAACCTGATGTAGAAGCCCCTGGCATCATTCCTGAGATCACTGTCCTCCTTGGGGACATGGACCCCAGTGCCAACGATAACACTGTAAGTTCATCGTGCATACCCAGCCTCTCTTTAACTGAATTAAGAGAGCCAGCCAGACTCCTGCAACCCCATGGATCAAGCCTCAGCTCACTACACGGCCAGGCTCCTCTAGACAGTGCTTCAAAGGAGTCTAGGCCTAGTGGCTGAGCCCCTGGGACACCTGTGAGCTGGATATCCATAATCATGAAGGACCCTCAAAATGCAACTTGTCTTCTGGGTCCAAAGGAGGGGCCTGTGCTGATGAACCACGACTCTTAAACACTACTGCCATGAGCCACATGCCATGTTAGACAGGAGATGAAGTGCTCTGCCCTCAAGTCCTCAATAGTGACCATTGCCTGCTGGGTAGTTCTGTCCTGAGGACAGCTAGGACATCACCCCAAACCATGGACTCCCCAAATCACCAAATGTCACCACACTGTAGCCTGGACATCTGAAGACACCCACACCGAGTCTCAGCTTCGGCTCCTGAGAAATGAGCACCAGGAGCCTGTGTGCACCACCTCCAGCCGATGTACTGGATGATCTGTGAGAGACATCACTGGAGGTAAGGAGACCTCGGAAGACACATATCAAAACACGTTCACATCACTCAACACACGCTGGAAATGCTCCTAGCCCCCTCCCCACCTCCAATAGCTGGCTGCCCGGACATCTCGGCCTCAGCCCCACCCTGGCCAATCTACCATCCAGCTTTACAACGCTGTCTTTCTCCTCCACCCTGCCACTGCCCTACGCCCAATGCTGTGGAGCTCCTTCTGAGGACCAGCCACTGTCACCACCGTGAACTCCTTAGACTGATAGGAAGATCAGGCGCAAAATCTTTTATTTCCACATGTGCGACCCAAAACGGAAGTGTGACTCTCAGAGAAGCAGGTGGCAGGGGCTCAGCAGCCCACAATCCCCTGGGGAGGGCTCTGCAGGAGGAAGGGGAGGAGGGAAGGGCTGGAGACAAACAGCCCCGCCAGGCAAAGGGGCCCGTGGCCGAAGCCCACTCTTGGTGCCCTGGTCTCCCCCAGGAGTATCATCCATAAGCAGGACATGGGCTCCAGGGTCCTGCTACAGGGCCCACACTCAGCAGATGGTCGTTAATATTTTTGTTGGGTGCGAAAATACTTCCTGAGCACTAGGAACAGAATACTGGAAGATGTTCAGTTAAAAACAGAAGGGTTGGGGTTTCTTTCTAAAAATCGGAGCATCAGCACTTTAGATGATAGCCAAGACAGGCTGGTTGGGTTCTGCCTCGGTTCCATGTCCACCTAGTGGAGTGTAAAAGGCGGCCCTGCACACAGAGGAAGGGAAACTGAGAACCATATCTGTCCACACCCGTGGCAATGGTCTCCTTCTCCGAACCCTGTCTGTCCTCTTGCCTCACCCCAAGAGAGGGATGGCCCAGACAGGCTCAGCCCGGAGGAACTTGACACCCAGCAGGGCCGGAGGACATGCGGCATTCTTGGTCCAGCACTTCGTCGGCCCCGCGGCAGCAGAGATTCCCAAGAGCGCCTAGGGCTTGGGGATGCAGCCTGTCTTCCCACTCCTTCCGGAAGCAAACAGAGCCTGCGCACAGGTCCTCGTCTCAGTAATTGCCGCGAAAACCTGGACCTTCCACCCTCCCCCCGGGTCTGTCCTGCAAGAGAAGGCCGACAGGCTGAACCGCAGGCCAGGTGGAAAGCGGCCGGCCACGCCAGCGCTCAGATGCCACACTGTGTGGCGTGGGGCACCGAGGGCGGTCCCCACCGGGGACCTGGGGGCCGCAGCCGTGGGCGAATGGGTCGGAACCGGATCCGAACCTCAGATGAGCGGCTGTGCTGCTACACCAGGGGGTGCAGCCGCAGCACCTCGAGCTGGGTAGTCCGAGTTGTCCTCCCCACCCACCAGAGCCCCGCCCACGGCCCGTGGACCGCCCCGCCCGCCGCCCGCCCCCGCCATCGGAGCCCGGCTCCGCCTGCCTGGGAATCTCCAGACTCCGGCGATCTCCAGGACCTGAGGTTTCCGGAGCTCTTCGGGGTCGCTTCGCCCGGAGGTGAGTCCACGGGGCCCGGCCCCAGGCGGTCACGCGTCACGCGAGGACCGGGCCGCGGCGCGGATGCGCTGGGAGAGAGCTAGCGGCCTTGGCAGCAGCGTCTGGGGTCTAGGCGCGCGGTACCCGGATACGGAGTGGTTGGAGCCTGCGAGGCCCCCTGCAGCGTGCTCCATTCCTCCCTTCCCCCAATCCTCCCGGAATGTTCCTGGAGATCTGGAGCAGAAAAGGGCAGAGGCCCCCGCTGAGCCCTCACTGGGTTCCCTTTCTCAACTCCATCACTGCTGATTTGTCTGCTTGGGACCTCCGGGGTCTACACCCTGGTAACCTAGAGGAGTAGCGAGGCCGTCTGACTGGGTGAATTGAGGCCGGACCCTCCCCAGAGTTAGGAGCGGGAGCTCTTTGTCTTTGCCCAGGATTTTTGCATACCAATGCTGAGGGTCCAGAGGTTGTGCTTAGTCCCTAGCGAGCTCGATTGACCTAAACAGGCTCCTTCTTGGCCTGCCAGTTAGACACCTGGCTTTCACAGGTGAGCCCTGTTGCGTTTGAGGAGGAGGTCCTGGGCCCCAAGCGGCCCTGCCCGGTGACTGAATAGACTCATCACGCCGAACTGTTCCCAACCACTCCCCTGGTACCTTCCCTCAGCCCTTCTGGGCGTGCTGTGAGTCCTCCGAGGGACGATGGGTTGCCTCCGTGACCTGTTTGTGGCTACGCCTGCCAGAACTTCTTCCTACCAGACAGTTCAGGGCTCCTTCGTTCCAAAACCTCACTGTGTCTAGAAAAGACAGGAGGCTCTTTTCTCCCTGTGTGTACTGCCTGGGCACGAGAACAGGCCCAGCTGGCTTGGCACTGAACTTGACCATCTGGAGTTTTTGCTACCCGCTACAAGATGTTAGCTGCTTAAGACAGGAGGGGCCTAGGACTGATCCTGAAAGACACCACAACTTCTTCTCCCACTGCACCCCCTTTCTCTAAGAGAACCCCAAGTCTGTAAGCCACCCCTACTCCTCCCAGTCTCTGGGACGCCCCTCCCACTCAGCACATGCCATCAGTGTACTCCATCCTCAGGAGGCCAGTGGTACTCAAACAGGACACCGAAACCCAGCAGGCTGGTCCTTTCTCCAGCTCTCTCTTACCTGTGCCAGGGGCCCAGAAAAGCCCCACGGCCTCCTGGCTGCCTAGTGTCCTTCCCAGACACAGGTGGAGGAATGGAGTTATCTTCTGGAAATGGGTCCTGAGTTCCCACCTAGTACAGGAGGAATAGAATAGCCCAGAGGCATTCATGTAGGGGAAAAAGAGCCAGCCAAAGAAACACACTCTGACCCTGCAACCAGAGCCAAAGAAACACACTCTGACCCTGGAATCAGAGCCAGTGAAAGAAATATGCCTTGGCCCTGAAATTAGAGTCAAAAAGGGCCAGTGAAAGAAACACACTTTGGCCCTGAAACCAGAACCAAATCTGCCCCTGACTAACTAAGCAAGAAAAACCAGCCAATCCCTGAGCAGGAAAATGAACCAATCACTGAGCAGAAAACCCAGGAGAACTAGCCAATCTGAGCTCAAGGGGCTGAGATCTGACTGATTCCCACCCTGAAAAATCATCTCCCTGTTAAAACTCCGCCCCTAAGAAGCCGGATATAGCCATGTGCTTGCACACTTTACCTGAGGCAGCCGCTATTCCAGATTCTTCCCTCCCAATAAGTCTCTTGAATGAGGTGAGACCTTTTGCCAGAATGGAGTAGAGGAGAGGAGTGGCAACTTTTTGCTGAAGCAGAGAGGGGCTGTAACATTTCCCTGGGGAAACCTTCCCTTAGCAGAGGGAGTCTTTACGCTGGAGGACAAAGCTGTACTGTGCTAGGGAAACCCTTCCCTGCTGAGCAGAGCTGTTACCTTGGGGAAAGCTTTCCCTGGAGCAGGGTTGTGAGCTGCTAGGACTGCCTGCTTTACATCTGAATCACAATGCTTACATTCCAGCTCCCTCCAGCAGTGGCCTGCTTTTGACTCACAGGGCCCAAGGAAGTGTTCATGCTTGCTCATTTAACAGACCAGGGCCACTCCCTAGCCCCCCTACACACACACACACACACACACACACACACACACACACGCACGCACGCACGCACGCACGCACGCGCACACACACACACTTCTATAGCATTCTGAGAGTTCTTGGCTCCCCTTACTTGGCCTTGGGTGCCCCTAAGTTTCAAAAGGAGTGTCAGCTGGAAAGTATCATTAGTTGAATTTGGGAAAAGATTCTGCAGGTGCCAAAAGGGGTGTCAGATAAAAAGCTCTTTTAATAATTGGCCACAATAGCAGCAGAAGGGGGCAGGTATAGTGAGGTAGAGATTTGATTAGCAGCCCATGGGGCAAAGGAAATTCTGGCTCCCAGAGATTTCAAAAGGAGGGGGCTCTCAGATAACATATGGCTTATATAAATGTGATTGTAGCATATGGCTGGCCTTGGGCAGTACAAATCGCTCTTTTGATTGGTGCAGGGGCCAGGAAGGCACTAGATAAGGAATTGGGTCAAGTTGTCTCAGTGGCTAGCCTCGGGGCAGTAGGGGTTAATACTGCTTTCCTGCCCCACCTGGGGGCACTTACAAGGGGGACTCTGGGCTCACTGGGGAGGTGGTACTATCTAAACCAGGATCCTGGCTTGTGGGTGGATAGCCTGTCCCTTAACCAGCTGCCTCTCTCACAGCAGGCTTCTTTGGCTTGTGAGCCCTCAGCAGATGCCTGCCTCTTCCAGCATGAGGGTCTTCTTGCCTGTACTGCTGGCAGCCCTTCTGGGTGTGGAGCAAGGTATGTCGCCGAGACCCCAGATGAGCCCGGCCTTCTTTAGTATTTCTCCTGAGCGGATGCCCAGGACTGCTCCCTAGCGAAATGACCTGGTTCCCCTGCCTCGGTGCTGGCCCAGCTACACTGTTGTCACCTTGTATTTATGGAGACAGACACTTCAGCCCCTCTAGGACCAAAGTGTGACATCACTTGTCATCTTGTTTTTGTCTCTGACCCAGGGTTGAGCATGGTTGTTGCTCCCCCTCCCCGTCCCTCCCCAAACGGGAACAGTGCCCTTCCCTGAAAGACTTGCCTGGGGAGCGGGGAGGTATCACCTATAGCATGTCCTTTTTGCAGCCCATTCCCTGGTATGCTTCTCCTGCACCGACCAGAAGAGCAATTTGAAATGCCTGTGGCCAACTGTATGCCCGAGCTCAGACAATTACTGTGTCACAGTATCTGCTACTGCTGGCTTTGGTGAGTAACTAGCCGTCTCCCTGCCTGGACCAGGGATTCACAGCACTTTCCCCATTATGTTTTACCCCTCAATCTCACTCTCCGTACAGGGGATATCAACCTTGGCTACACCCTGAATAAGGGCTGTTCCGAGATCTGCCCTCGTGAGAACATCAATGTCAACTTAGGTGTGGCATCTGTGAATAGCTACTGCTGCCGGCATTCCTTCTGCAATATCAGCACAGCTGGCCTCGGACTTCGTGCTAGTGTCCCACTCCTGGGCCTTGGACTCCTGCTCAGCTTGCTGGCTCTGCTGCAGCTGGGCCCCTGACCATCCCCGTGTATGCTCCCCGTATTCCCCCAGTTCAGGAAGAAAAGCTAGGGGGACCCTAGGAGCCTTCAGCTTCTGAGTGTGTCTAGTCCCCCTCCACATTCTTTCAACATCAGGGCTAAGCACCAAATGCTTCCACATCTGCTCTGTTGAAGTGGGACTAGCTACTCTTGTGTCCAGAACCAACCCTGTAACCTCCCTTGGGGACCAGGAAAGGGGTAAAATCCTTCCTCGGAGTCTTAGAGTACCAAGGTCAGTACAGTGTGTCCTATGGACACACTGACAAGGGGGGGAACTACCCAAATGAATATATACCTGTGTGCGCAGTGTGTCTGTTTGTGAATGAAGCCATTCGGGATCTGGGATGGGCAAAGGGGACCTGGAAGATTCTCGAGTGGAAGGCCTGTCTCCACCAAGACTCCTTCCCCTGGCATTACTGGGCCCACCTTGTGCTCACTCCAGGAGGCTGCGCGTGGAGGACCGCCACTCCCAATGAAGGCTCCCACCCCTAGATCCAGTTGAGTCCCCTGCCTGCCTCTCTGCCCACACTGGCTTCCTACTGCTATTCTAGTGCCTCAAATAAACTGTCCCCAGCCACTCCCGCCCTGTTCTGGATGTCGTCACCCCTCTCCCTCCTTGCAGGGTCTTCTTTCCTCTGCAGTCTGGAGGGACCTGGGGACCCTGCAAGCCCACAGCTCAGCGTAAGAGATCCTGAAAGACCAGCCTGGTGTGGGGAGAAGTCCCTTTAATGCCAGCAAGGCAGAAGCAGCTATCTGTGAGGCCAGCCTGGTGTGCACAGCGAATCCCAGGAATCCAGGCCCCTTTAGTGGGGTGGGTCCGAGAGAAAGGAAGGGAGGAGAGAAGGCAGAAAGGAGGGAGACAGAGAGAGCCTGAAAGTGTGCTGCCCTGGGCTGTGTGAGCACAGCTGCCCATGAAGGCGGCCCCACCAGGGTGGCCACACATTGCTCATCTATACCAGGGACTCCAGAGGCCTGCTGTCTACACCTGGCCTTCACAAACCACACTGTGGTCCAAGCCACGCAAGTGTGGCCAGGCAAATGATGAGTATCTACCCTGCAACTGACTTTGGGTTTTTTTCGTTGTTTTTCCACCTAATTTGGTTTGGTGACACCCCCACACACACACACACCGTCTTCCGTTCTGATATTTTAAGACAAGGTCTTACCATGTTAGACTAGCTACCCACAGACTTGGAGTAAGCCTGCCTCTGCTCCCTGAGTGTGGGGGTTAAAGGTATGCACCATCACAGCCGACTTGAGATTTTATTGCTTCAGAAGCAGGATCTGGCTTAAATTCTAGGCTTCCAAGCAGTTGCCACTATACCTGGCTTTATGGGGTTCACTGCTGTGGGTTTTGAGGGACGAGGGACTGACTAATGGTGACACAGACCTTGAAGCAGCTCTTCATGGACCTGGGTGCCTAAGGAGGCTATTTCTCAGATTTTCCCGAGTCTCTGGCCTGGTGGGTGATACCACAGTTGGATATGAACCACACAGTTCCTGGCTATGGTGACATCAGTGTCCTAGGAGTACTACCCAGTGGGGAAGAGCATGGAGACATCATGGATGAGGGTGGACTGAAGAAGTCCAGGAAGGCCGTGGCTGGCTATGTCAGTGCCATGATTCTCAAGACCAGGACGCCCGTGACCTATATATACCCTGAAGGTGTCATAGGAAGGAGCTAGTCCCATCCCAGGTGGGTCTGCAGAGGCTCATAGTTAGAAAGGACAAGCTCTGGGTGAAACTTGTCAGGAAGGCAACTATGGGACCTCTGAGACTCAGGACTAGTGAAGCCAAATGGAGTCACATAAGGTTTATTAACAGACAAATCAGGAATCGAGGTGCTACACTCAGGACAGAATGAAGCTGCTGCCTCAGTGGGACCAGCAGATACACCGCCGCTGTTTCTGCCGATGCTGCCGCTGCTTCGTTCCAAAAGGGGATGAAAACCAAGCCACCAACGCTGAGTGCTCCCATGGCTTGCCTACCACCCTAAGAGAGGGTCCTTTGCTCCGCCCTGGCTTTTTATTCAGGCATTCGGGTTGCATACCCTCTAATGAAAACTCCACACTCTGGGCCAAGCCATTCCTTACAATTGGCTAACGGACTGATGACGAAATTCCTGCAACACAGGACAGAGGGGTGCTTTGCTACAGGACTATTGAAAGGCAATAGAGAAATGTCAGTTTTCTGCAGGAGGCTTGGGCTATCCACTGTGGTGTTCGTGACAGATCTAGGTAATTTTCCTAGAGACACTGGCCCGTGACCCCAACTAGTCTAAGAATTAGTGATAAGTCGATGGGGGGGCAGAGTTAGACTCCTAGGACATGGGAACCAATGGCACCAGCAGTGACAGGGACACCTGCCAAGCTCTGGGTTCCTCCTTGTCTTGACTTAGCTCCCTCTTTTTGATGGGGAGGTGTCACAAGGCTTAAGAGTTGAAGTCACTTGTGGTCTGGGACTCTTAAGCAACCCTCTGCTCTGAAACCTGGGGCAGGGGATGGTCTGGTCTGATTCCTCCCAGGAGAAGGGTGGTCAGAGGGACCTAGAGTTCTAGGGGTGCCATCAGGAAAAATGAAGACCATGGCATTCAGTTTCCTGGTTGCTACGACTGGCAGGGAGAATTGAAGGAGAGGCAAGTTCCAGGGCTAAGTTTCACTTCTGAAGCAGGGAGAGGACCTGCCCAGGGTTAAGTTTCAATTTCCTAGTTTAAGGCAGGAAAGGCCATGGAGGGGGGAGGGAGAAGGGTGAGCGTGTGTTCTCAGAGGTCTACCCAGAGTCTGAAGTGAGGTGCCCATTGTGGGGCTACCATCTGGTTCAAGAGAGGGACGGTCCCTCCTCTGCAGTGGATCTGGTGGGTTCTGGGCTGGTCCTGCCTCCAAAGCCTGGCCAGGCCTTCCTGCCATTACTGCTAGTTAGTGATCACTGACCAGGGTTTCCCCAGTCTGACTCTGCCAGCTGTGCCCTACCCAGCAGGTGCTTAGCCGCCTCTCCTCAGTCCCACGGGCTCCAGTGACTGAAATGTCAGTGTCCTCTCCACCCGAGCTTCATACAGCAAACGGAGCACCCCCAGGCGAGGTCTATTTCTAGTTCTGTGTGTCCCTGGTGAGGTCTTTAACTCCGAGACACAAGAGCCTAGAGTGAGCTCAGACATGTCCTCTAGCACAAGCATTTTTTTGTTTTCCTTTAAAAAAATAAAACGTTTTTGTTTTTAATAAACTTCATTATTTAAAAAAAATTGCAAACAAGGGGCTAGAAAGTCGGCTCAGTGGTTAAGAGCACCGGCTGCTCTTCCAGAGGATCCAAGTTCAATTCCCAGCACCCCCATGGTGACTCACAACTGTGTGTAACTCCAGTTTGTGGGGATGTTATCCCTCTTCTGCCCTTCAGAGACACTGCATACGTGTGACACACAGACTTAAATGTAAAAAAAAAAAAAGGGGCCAGCCAAAGAAACACACCCTGAGCAGAGCCAAAGAAGCACACCTGGGCCCTGCAACCAGAGCCAAATCTGATCCTGAACCTGCGCAGAAAACCAACCAATCCCTGAGCATGATAATTAATCTGAGCTCAGGGACTGAAAGCTGACCAATCCCCACCCTGGAAAGCTACCTGGAAAAACTCCACCCCTAAGGAGCCCTATGTAAACCTTGTGTCTGTCCAGTTTGCAACTGTCCTACTGCTCGGCTGTCCTGCCACCCTGGGCTTTTGCACTGTTTCTCTGGCCTCTGCATCTTACTTTAAAGGTGTTAATGGCGCTTGAGTTTGCAACTAGTGCCTCAACAAGCCAAGCTCGGCCACCCATCCCCAAAGCCAATTAAAAGAGCCAGTATAGCCACATTGGGAAGAGGGACAAAGAGATCCAGTGGCCAGACCTCACTAAATCCATCTTTGGGTTCTTAACTTGGGGGTAAGTTTTAAACAGGAGATATGCACAAGTAATCTGTCCAGCCAAGATGTGGGGGTCCCCACCATGGCCTCAGATCGTAACTATTCCTCCAGGGGACAAGTTGTTCCTCCTGTTGCCTCCTGGGTTTTGCCCTCCCAGCAGGAAGTTTCTGAGGAATTCCAATTTCTTGGGCTCCTTTGTTTCAGGAGTCTGCTGGCCAAAGAGGGGGAGCACAAAAGTTCCTATGGAATAAATTCATTTCTCCCAGGCAGGCAGGTTCCACCAGTACAGTCAGGTCTTCCTCTAACCTTAATTAAATTTTACTTGAGAGCCCCCTGCTTTCCTTCCGAGTCCCGGTCCCCCTACACATACCTGCCCCAGCAATGAACTCTTAAAGTTCCCAGCCTGCTGCACCCGGCCTGGTGCCCACAAGCAGCCTGGGCCACTGTGCCTCAGCTTCCAGAGGCCCTGGGACCGTCTCCCTCCCCCCACTCCACACATACACACAAGTTTTCATGCCAGCTGAAAACTCTGCCAACCCAGAGCACCCCCAGGCAGCTCCTAGGCCTTGGGTGACTGGGGTGGTAGTCTCATTTGGAAGGGCAACCTGGGCACACCGGAACCCCGGACTTATCTCTGTTGTTGTGTATACCTTGAGGGCCACGGCTGCAGCCCAGACATCTGGAGAAACTTGAAAGATGGAAGACTTGTTGGACCAAGAGCCTCAGTGATCGGCCCAGGTTCTGTGGGTGAGGGCTGCAGGGAATCTACCTTAGGGCAAGGGGCTGAAAGATGGGGACGCAGGTGTGGCATGTGGCTGTTGTCTCATGCGCATCTAGTGACTCTGAGTTGGTGGTTATGAGACCTCGACGTGCCTTCTTCCCTTATCAGTTGAGGCCGCCCTTACCCTTTAATTCGCCAGACCGCAAAGCTGGGGAAGGAAGCAGACCCACCCAATCCCAAGAGGACGGCGGCGGCAGTGCAGCCAGACCCGTGCTCCAGGCTGGGCCGCCCGCGCCCTCTAGTGGTGGAAGCTTTCACAGCCGTCAGCGCGCATTTCAGCGTTCACGCCTCTCCCCGCAGTTCTGATTTCCCCAAAGCGAGCACACACTGAGGGCTGTATCATTCATCAACGTGACTGACCCCTGTGAGTAAGAGGAGGATGCTCCCATGCGAGTTTCCAGGAAGACCTAGTCTGACCTGTGCGTTTGGGCACCCGAGGAAGCTGTCCTGGGACACCCACTCCCATCTTCCTGCTCAGATCCTGGGTCCTACGGAGGACTGGCCACGAGCAGGGCACCACAGGCCTCAGACAAACCGCGAGAGGCATGGGAGCGAGAAGAGAAAGTGAGCTGGCCGAGGTGGGGGGAACCCCAGAGGAAGCTAACTTCCGGTTTCCTCGACTTTTGGAAAGAGGAGGGGTGCAGAATTTGAGTTTCGATTTCCTGAAGTTTAGAGGAGGGAGGGGCCTGAGGGAGTGGAGGAAGGCGGGAGAGGAGAAGCGGGTGGGGGAGATCCACTTAGAAATAGAGCCACTTAGGACTCTCTGGCCTCTGCCCAAGCCTAGGGTGAAGTGTCGACCGCGTGACCTCCACAACATTCCCGCCCCCACGGGGGGGAGCTGGAAGTGGCACAGCTGGCCAGAGGCTGAAAGGTAACCCAGACAGAGAACTGGTCCCCAAGAGGGG